CTTAGCAAGTATTTATTCTCAGCGCGCTACTTGAAGTCATGACGCGTAATTTTTTGACAGATAACGTCGTCTTAGTGCCGACGAAATCTCCAGATCGGAGTTGAAGACGCTTCAGGACATTTTCAAGGATGAAAAGACCGCCAAACAGGTGTTCAACGCTGCGAAGCGAAACGCAAAGAGCAAGAAACGCGCAGCGGCACCGGATGGTTCCATGACTGCAGACTCTTCGTTGTCATCTTCCAAGAGAACGAAGACAGAGGTTGAACTGGGAAGAGATGCGACCCCTTTCGAGATCGAGTCCTCTCTGGCTCTTCCTATCTCAACGGCATCGGAGGAGGAACTCTCAAAGACGGTTCTCCTGACGAACAGGGCTCCTCTCGTGCTGGCATTCGCAGTGTGCGTGACCAAGTACACGATGCCCGAACAGCCTATATCCAGCCGGCTCAGTCTGGCGCAGACGGTTGTCAGCGCAAACAGCCGCAGCAAGGCTGTCAGCATCGGAATCGAGAGCGGTAAGAGCGCGGGGGAAGAGGGCTGGGGACAGGGCCAGCCTACAGTGAAGGTACTAGGAAGGGAGATTCCTGTTCTGAAGAGATGGGACTACAATCCAAAAGAAGGGGAACCAAAGGACGATACACGAACTGAAGTTGCAAACGAAAAGAATACTGCATTTAATGACACAAGTTCAAGTTCTTCGCTACCTCTCTGGGGTCTTGATCTCGAAGCTCTGCGAAAGAAGTCTGGGGAGCGTAGTAATGCGAGTGGCTACGGAAATAGTAGCGGCCTTCCAATCCACACCCCAGAGTCTGCACGAGCATATCTGCTCAAGTCTTTTACGATATTCCAGAAACAAGAAGCTGAACAAGACCAACATCCGCCATCCCTGTCGACCGATCCTTCTTCTCCGAAGAGGAAAAAGAAGAAGACGGATCCGGCGTCTGAGAAGGAGAAATGCCTGGGGATGCTGCTACATGCCATCGACATCGTCTGCCGATCATGGGCGTCGACGCTGTCCGCAGAAGAGCTAGATCGACGCGCATGGTCGTGGTACCTGCGGGTTCGACCCGATGTGCAGACGGGTGTAGCAGGTTGGGGAGAGAAAGGGATGGTGAGGCTGGCGGATATCCTGGCTCTAAAAAGGGATACCTGAAAAAAAAACAGGCACCTTTCAAGACGATGTGCTTCATGGGAATGGACTCTTTTCTTTGTAGCATAAGATAAACGACTCCCATTTTACAAAAAGGAAGGGTATGTGTTGGATCGGAAGCTCACTAAAGCACATAATCTGATCAGCAGTAAGTCTTACTCTGAAATATATGGCGTTATCCCTGACATTTGCTTGTATAGACTGTTCACTTGGGCTAGACGTCTAGCATACCCCTCATGAGCTGTTGCTGGCCATCTACTGTCTCCGACGCTGACACACTGGATATCTGTGTCCTGGACACATTGATCGCCTGAATATGAACCGAACGCGTCCTCACCAACACATTACTATTCGCATCAATGGCCTCGGCGGATAGCAGGACCTGCTGCTGCAGGGCCAGACTGTCAGGCACTGACAACACGAAAGAAGTCTCAAACCCCGTCCGTTTTGCTTCCCCGAGAAGCTTTTTCTTCTCGGTTCCCGCAGTCTGAGAATAGAACCGCCAGCGCACTGTCTCCGTATCGCCATTCCACGAAACATGAACCGAAATATCTACCCTCCCTCCTTGGGTTCTTTTCCTGAACGCGACAATGGCTTGGCTGGCTCTTCACTTGGCCGTCCGGTCCAATTGAAGCGAAAGCCGCGGTAGCTCTGCACCAGCTTCCCGCCAGGTTCAGAGTCGAGGTACGCGTGGAAAAGGACGGTCCCGTCGTCGCCGTCAAACTCCGTCACTGCTCCTGCCTGGCCCCAGTTGACAAACACGTTGCCGTTCGGCAGGACCTGGGCGTTGCCCTGGGAGCCAGCGGACAGACCATCCGGAGCCGGGAACGTGCGGACTTCTGTAACCGTGCCATCGCTATGGTTGAGCTCGACGATTCGGGCGCGGGAGAACGGGCTGATCCGGAGCTCCGATCCAACGCCGGCAGCATTGTCAAAGAAGGAAATCCTCTCGATGGTGCCGTCCTCCGAGCGAGACAGCAGCCGAGCATCGTGCTGGAACGCAAAGCGCACATCAGCCGGCACCGTGAAGTTGGAGCCATGGCCGCCGCCAAGTTGCCAGATGATGTCGCCTGTCGTGCCGTTGATCTTGAAAATGGCGGCGTAGTTGCGTGCGGAGATCAGATAGTTTCCGTCGGGGTCTTTGTCGACGCTGTTGATGTGGAAGTAATTCCATGCGTTGGTTGAGTCGCGGCCGTTGAAGGGGCCTTCTGGACTGAGTGGGAAGAGGCTGTCTATTCGTTGTGAGAAGAGTTATTCTTGAAAGATATCGACATTGCAACATACACTTCGGATCCACATGGTCAAAACTATACCATTCGAACAGCAATTCTCCCGTCTCGATATCCAACTCTACTCACACACAACTATTAGATTCATGAGAGCACTATATAAGGAGAAAGAAGAAGAAAGGGGTATACTTCCCCTGAAACCCACTGGACACAATCCAATTCTGGCCCTCGTCCCCTCCCCAGGGTGACAAATCCGCCGGAATCGCGACCGGTGTCTCAATCAAGACAGACTCTCCGCCGTCCAAGACGTTAAACTCATGGCAAGAGGCAAGCCTGTGCGACGCCGTCCCGACAGTCTTGATCGTCTCGTACCGCTCGTTGAGGATCATGTGTTTCCCGTACATCCGGCCGTGGCGGGCGTCGAGCTGGCCTTCGAATGCCCACAATACCTGCTGCTGCTGCTGCTGCTTGCCATAGCTATAGGTTCTGGTCCATTCCCCCGGACGAAAGTTAGCGAACCAGCCAGCGAAATACCCAACACCGGACCAGACGAGGTCACCATCATCGCGGAAGATGTAGGCGCCTGGCTGTTGGGGTCCGTAGTGCTCGTTATCATCATCAAAACCTGGGTTGGGCGTGATGAAGATGTAACCCGACTCGACGGCCCCGGGGGTGGCGGGGACGGTGATATTCAGTTTTGGAGGGGACAGGTCGGGGCTACATTATAGAAGACGATTGATTAATTAATCCTTCGAATGAATTTGAAGGGATAAGAGCATGGAATGAAAAAGAGAAACAAAAGAAGATAGTAATATTACCACAGAAACTGCCAGTCAGCCTTGCCAACACGACACAGGGTACTTAGCAGTATTATTACGGCTGAGATACTCATCGTTATAAGTAACAGCTGCACTGTATAGTATTACGGAGCTGAAGAAAAAAAACACACAAACGGGATACGAGGTATGTAGTTAGGTTTTATCCAGTCACGTCCATTGATAAATTCTCTTTAAACGATTGTATTATTATCCACGATGACAGTGACTAATACCTCCAGTCCTAACTAGAGTTAACCTGCTACTACGGAAGTTGTATTAATATGTATAGTTCGATGTCGTGCTCGGAATATCCATCTGTCGCAATTCTGCCAAGAAAGAAGTAACTAGCCCTAATAAATAGAAGAGCATAAATACACCACCTACCTACATGTATGTATCTAACTGAGATGGAATAATGTAAAAAAAAACGCCAGGGCGATTGAGGATTTATCTAATAACATGACAGACAGACAGCACAGGACAAGTAGTATCATTATAACAGGAATTGATTAAAGGTCGAGAGTACTGTATATGCTGACTTTGCTAGGGCTTGTAAATTTACAATAGTAGCACTTTAACGAGGACTAATCAAATCAAACAAATCACATTTCCATCAATATGTACAGTAGAAGGCAAACGAAGGATAGGTCGATAAAAAACAGCCGCGACCTGTATCAACATCACGGATCTTCATCTCGTTTCTGCGCAACGAACGAGTGTAAATGCACACATATATATAGATTCTCTCGACATCAGCCGTGTTATGACCGTTACACCTGGAAAGTGAGCGACACGGCAAGCAGCTTTATGTGTCCAGCAACGAAAGTTACATTTCTTTGCTCAAAATATCTGCCGAAGCGAGGGAGTAAATCTCACGGAGATTCCTCAACAAAGAATAAGAATAATCAAAGGGGCAAGGTTGCGAAAACCTTTGCGGAAAACTAGTTGCATGAAGCGAAAAACTGAAATTGATCTATTGTGAAGCTTGGGACCTGAGGCTCGAGAACAAGGCATGCAGATCTGCCGTCATGTTGCTCGTGCATCTAGTTCGACGGGAATCCGGCCCTCAAGTTATCATAGATAGATGCCGGGTAGCTGAGCAGGTTCGGGCTCTGGTCCAGCACGGCCGTGCCGCCAACGCGGTTCACCAGCTATCAACCTCGTCAGCCTTCACACCCAAATGAAAATACAGTCGGATAGATATCTGCATACCGTCGCGATCAGACTCTCGTTGCCCGACTTGTCCCCGCTGCTTTCCCAGTACATGCCACCGCCAATACCCTTCTGCTGGATGTAGTCACCCTTCCAGGCGACGACATTGGGGGTGTCGTAGCTGATCATGATCTTCTGGTTCGGATCATAGCTGTAACTGGCGATGGGCTGGTCGAGTTCGTACACCGTCGCGCCCGCCTGAGGCAGGGCCTTGTAATCCCAGACTCCAGGTCCGCCCTCCCATTCGCCGGGCCCAACACCGTTGTATGCAGTGCCCGGACCGTCCGTCTGAAGGAAGGACCGGCCGTAAAGAGGGATTCCCAGGTTGATCTTGCTGGGAGCAACACCATTGGAAGTGTAGTAGGAGACGGCCTGGTCGGTGTTGAACGGGGTGCTGGCTGGGTTCGACGTCGATGGGAACACATTCGCCATGTGTCCGGCAACCGTAGACCACTTTACCCTTGTTAGCTGATCCCAACTAATCTCACTCGGCAAGAAACGGGAAACGAACAGATCCACTGCAGCTTTTTTGTTAGCCATGATGTTTTCCCGGAGAGATTTAAGGGAGTACTAACGTGTAGTCATAGGCCATCAAATTCCAGAAATCAAGGTATTGGTCCATCTCCGCAAGATGCATGGGCTGATAGTTGGAGGGACCTATTCGAGCTTGGTCAATATAACCTACTCCATGTTGCGAGTCGACAAACTGAAGAAGCAGACGCACCGGCTGGTGAGGCGACACTGAGCAGAAGGTGGGTTCCATTCGCGTACTTGGCAGAGTAGTTGTCCAGAGCCTATGGATGGAGATCGTTAGCATCAAGCACCAACTGAGAGAATTTCGCATACGTACCTCTCGCACGTCCTTCAGAAGCGCAACCATGTTATCCGCCTCAGTAGCGTTGTTCGGGTACTGTACAAATACGTCGAAGTAAGCTTGCCTATCCGATAGATTGAACTTCCTGCCGAAAGCTTTTTTTTTCTTCTTACCTCCCAGTCAATATCAATGCCGTCAAACCCAAGGTTCTGAACCATCTGGACGGCAGTCGAAGCAAACGTCTGCCTTCCAGACTCGGTCGTGGTAAAAGTCGAAAACTTGGGAGAGTATGTGTAGCCTCCAATAGACAACAGCGTCTTCAGGTTCCGCTGCTTCTTCTTGAGCAGAAACAGCTGCTTAACGCAGCCGTACACGTTGTTTCCCTGCTCATTCCAGGAGTCGGTGGGATAGTGCTTCTGGATGTCCGCGTACGTGTCGGCGAGTGACACTTCGCCGGTGTTTTGATCAACATTGGCGAACGCATAGAGAACGTGAGTCAGAGTCTCGGTGGTTAGATTCTGCGGGTTAAAGTTACGCGCATAGATTGCCTGCAAACAATCCACGATTAGCGGAAGGGGTCTTGCACGAAGATGAAGTAGTCCTTACCCAGTCAACAAAGTAAGCCACGGATCGGAATCCCGTAGAAGAACTGTTAGAGCGGCTGTGCAGACGAAACCGATCATTAGTGTAAGGAATGAAAGCAGCGTTGGCCAGCCAGCTAAGGCCCAGAAGCAGGGCCAGTTTCAACTGCATGGTGAGGGAAGGGATACGGCGCCGGCCGACAAGGAGTGTACAGATCTAGAAATCCAGAAACGAAACAAAGGAGTGATCGGCGAGCCTGGCAGGACAAAGAGAAAAAAAAAGTCGAGGAGCTGGGCCTTTTATGGGTTTTACGGCTACTTCATGACTCGACAGGGTGAGCCATAGGATGGAGGCGCGCATCCAGCCAAATCATTTTGCCCTATGTAACTCTCGTCTGCTGTTGGACGCATCTAGATCAGACTGCATGAGGTCGTCTAATCAGAGCGATAGCTTAATGAAGCTTAACGGCGCATTACCCGGCGATTTCACGGCAGTCTCCATTCTTTCTAGGCAATATTCTTCTCCTTTGCAGATGCAGGGACCTATGGCATCCAGAGAAATGTCGCATGAGAACAAGTAGCGTCGTGACCGTGACCTCCGCAACAATTTAGCGTCGGGTCTGATATCAAGCCACGCTACAGCTTGGCTTGCGCTTGTGAGTTGTAGGTTGGGGTCCAGATTGGCCTGGTGATTCGGGAATTCCTTGAAGGAATGTGGGACGACAGGTCAACCCTGCCAGAAGACGACGATGGAGCCTGTGACCAAACAGGCAAGCCCGCCTTCTTGACTACTGGTTCGTGCTGCATGAAATCACCTGGAGAGAGTCGAAGTCCCGCTGCATGCGACAGGGTATATAACGTCCGATCATTTAAACCGCTTCTAGAAGCTGAATCCTCTGACCAGACTCCGGTCGTGCGAAGTTCCAGATTCTAGCCACGAAGAGAGCAATTTCCGGGCCGTTTCACCAAGTCAGCTTGGGGGCGACTAAGTTCGACAGAAAGCTGAAACGCCGAGTCGAGCGCTGTACAAAGCTTGGCCGAGTCTATTTCCAATCTCAACCTGATGGCTCACCTAATAATTTAGTGGCCTTGCAATCATAGGCTCATACCAAGGTAGGAGCACATCATCTGCCCAGTTGCAGAGAGGCATATGCACCATTGTTATCGCCCTGCGAACACGGACGCATTGAGAGTCACAAGGCGTGAGGGCAAGGGAGCAGGAGGGGTAGTGCTCTTTGCTGTGCGGGGATGGGTTGTCAGCAGAGGTGCATTTGACCGGCCATGTGCCTGGTGATCGAGAGCAAAGGGTGATGAGTGACCCACGAAGGACGTGCAGATATGAGGACCCTGGAACACAGGCCAGCAGTTGGTGGTTGCGAAATGCGCCTGTGGGACCGGAGATGCAGGTACGCGATGCCAACGAGGTAGCATCGTGGGCGGCAAAGCAGGACGGGCCATGCGGGCATGTAACCTTGCGGCCGATAAGAGCCCCGTGACGGCGACTCGTGAAGGGCTGGAGGTTGGAAACAGATAACTAAGTTAACTGCTTGTTGGTAGCTTCAATGTTGGCCTCTGGGGCCGGCGCTAAGCTTAAGATGTTCCTTCCCATCAGAGAGCGTGTACCGACTGATTCTTAGCCAGATCGCTCGGGATGGGGCGATCCAGCGATCTTTTGTCCGTATCCATGGATATTGCTATCTATCATCCACACTGCAGGGAACAGGCATTTCATACCTTCTAATAACGCACGCATAGGAGTTGGATAGAAAAATACCAATTTTGAACTCGTTGGTTGCTACTCCATTTCGTTATCCTCTCAGCAGGTAATGGTATAGAGTCATAGACACAGATTGCCTGCATGGTTAGATAAGCAGCAAGTGCCCCTCCTCCACCTCCCCTCACACCATCCAGTCACATCGTCCTGCAGGGCATCTATCGCCCTGCCAATATCAGACAGATAAAGAAATCGCAACCGTCGTAGAGCCTACAGATTGAATCCGGTTTCTGGTATCAACAATATGTTACAGGCTACAGTATGATTTGTTGAACTGCAGTGCTACCGTACCCAACGTGGCAGTGGTCCTATACTATACAGTGGCTCTACGTATATATCTGAGGATGTACAGTATAAGCTATGTAGAGCCGCCAATACTATCGAAGAAGGGTACATGCATAATGACGATTTACCCCCCGATGATTCAATATTCTCGCATATACGAGTAGTCTTCGTGAATTGAGTGGTTGCTCACAAAGAGCCAAGCTACGACCGTATCACAAGAACATCATTGTCTTGCATGTCTTGCACGGCCTCCCGGGAATCTAATGTCGATAATGATTGGGTTGCAGTTGTATGCAATTTAATATCCTCGCAAGAACACGAACAACCAAAACGCATGAAACTTTATCCGAGGAGCAAAAACAGCACTGTCGCGATACCTATTGTTCCATCACCTGAATGAGAACAAAAAATCCTACAGCCCTAGAATGACTCGTAATTGTTTTTTTTTTGCTAGGTATGTCTCCTATTATTGGGTCAAGGGGAATTACATTCCCGTGGTAGGTAAATCGACGTTCTAGGCCACGGCCCGAAACGACTTCAGCGAAGTTGGAATGCTACGAGCATTCTTCTTATTCTTGTCCAGTAGGCTATCCCTGGGACATCCGGTAGCTGACTGATACTGCTATTTATACCTCGGATACAGCACGGTGTACTTCTTTCGATGATTACGACGCGTCTTCGTTACGGTGTAGGTGGATTTGGCATTTGCGTTCAGGGCTAAGGCCTGTATTTCTATAAAAGTATCTATCTGTATATAAACGTGCATAGAGACTACAAATCTCAGAACACAGAGGAAAGCCCTTCAGCATACATATCTCACGACTTGGGTGAGAATGCGCTCTGGACAGAGCCGTACCTAGTTTTTCGTCAGCAACAATTGTCTCCTAAGTACAAACAAACGAAGCGACGGCTCAGTACTTACCCCTGGGGACATTGGCTTCCCAGCGCAACGCTTCCGCTCCTCATGTAGCAGATCTTCGCCTCCTGACAGGCCGTATTGGTGCAGTTCGGGCTCTTGACGCTTGACTTGCCTTGGAGAGTGTTGTGCAGTGTCACCAGCGAGAGGTCCTTCTCCATCGCCTCCGTGACTCGGTACCAGAACGTGGCGTTCAATGGATCATCAGAACCCCACGAGGCAGCCGGGCCGTACGTATCGCGAGTGGAATACTCGAGGCTGAAAGTGGGCCCGGTCGCGTTCAGGGACGGGAAACTGGAGACGTTGCTGAAGAAAGTGTACGCCTCATAGATATTAAAGTCGCCTGTGTCAACCTCGTAGAGCCGGAATCCACTGTTCAGGTTCGTCAACGGGGTAACGCTGGGCCCAATCCAACCGGTCGTCAGAGCAGTGTCGGCATTCTGAACAGTCCCGTTGTTCGCGAAGTAGATCATGAACTGGTCCTCATGTGTGTGGCCAAAGAACACGTTGGCGATGACATGCGGGGAATAGCGATCGACGATTTGGTAAAAGAGATTCGTGGGGTTGGGCAGGGGATTGGTGCCATCCCATCCACTGAGGACATGGCCGATGATCCAAACACGGTCTCCGGCGTCTTCAGCCTTCTGGAGCTCTTCAATCATAAACGAGAAGATCCCAGAGTTGTCTGGGTTCGTGGTATTGATGAAATTGAGGTAATTTGACGAGTACCAGAAGTCTTGTTTGGCATTCATCAGTCTCACTCTCCCTGGAACCAAGCGTTATTTCGGACCACTTACCCGTATTGAAGGAAATGATACGGAGGCCGTATTGGTTCTTAATCGAGTAGGCACCGTAGTGAGTCCTCGCTGTCTTTGCCGCCTCCTTGTCGATCCAGCCCTCATGCATCCAGAGCCCGGCGACGTGATCATAATTCCAACTCTGCTGCTCTCCCAGAGGCCCCGGGAGAGTATGCGGCGCTTCGATGTTTGCGGGGCTGGTGTCGTGGTTGCCCAATGCAGCAAAAACGGGACCAGTTACATATGACTTCAACATGCCGTAGATACTTGTCTCCGTATACTCGGTGTACATACGCGACAGCTCCGACTCTGGGTCGTGGGAGACAAGATCTCCAGTGTAAATGGTCCACGCCAGCGACTCCTTGTCCTTCCCGGTCCCAGTCAAGGGGCCGACGGATTGGAGTGCGGCCAGAACGAGGTCATATGGGGAGTCACACTTGAATGAGCCATAAGCCGATGCGGACAGGAGGACCTGATCCGGTGAAGCGGTATTATGGTTGTTTGCACGGCAACAGAGACTTGACGAACAGTTGGCTTCCGAACCGACAGAATACCTGGGGTCCAAAGCACGTCGGACATGTGCAAGACCTTGACACGCTTCCCGCTGGCCTTGGGGACACGAGGATTCTTCGGTTTTGGCTTAGGGAAGAGGCCGGTAGTATTGAGCGGGCTCGTCGTGGGGGCGCTGCAAAAGCTGCTGCTGAGCGAATGGCAGATGTACTGCCCATCAAGGCCTTTTACATCAGCATAGTAAAGCACTTGTGTCCAAATATCTCCAAAGTTGCTAGCGGCATAATTCTGCTCGCACGAAGTGTCCGAACTGAAGTGGAAAGCTTTACATAGAGAGACCATTGCATCTGGGACCAGGGTCGGGGCCAGCCAGGCGGCTGGTTGGGCGGCAGCCAAGGCATCCTGGCATCTCGTGCAGTTGCTGGCAGTAGTATTGGCCGTAATTATCTTGGTCACATTCGCAATGACCTGCTGGATCACGGCCTTGGCCTCTGCCTCGGACAGATTTCTCTTCGGTTCAGGATAGAAGAGAGGATCCGTATTCTTCGTGGGGATCGTGTTGGGGTTTGTCAGATTGTAGGGGAAGGTCAGCTTGAGCACCGGGTCATAGATAGCCGGCTGCGGTTCTTGGGTTGGGCGTGCTGGAAGAAAATAGTAAGAGCTATGACCGGATCAGTCAGCTAGCGTCATCTTCCATAATTCGTGACGGTGATCCCTACGAGAAAGCACTGGTGGGAAAGCCAGCCGGAGCAACATAAGAGGTCGCGCCGGGCGCGGACGAGGCTGCGGAGGCCGGGGCTGATAAGGAGCCCAAGGCCAGCAAGCCTTGTAGGCGAGAAAGATTCATTTTCAATGCGAAACGCCTGGGGGATTGTGCTTGCAGATCAATCAGACAGCGATGTTCATCCCGACCCGTTGCGTCTCAGCAGAGGCGACTGCAATGCAGCCGCGATCGAGACCTGGATGTGTGGATGGCTGGCCACTGGACTGGACAATTGCAGCCGTGGAGAAGAGAACCTTGGCAGCATCATGGATCCGAGAGGATTGAATGATGTTATTTATGGGGATGACTGGGGCGGAATCTGGGAAGATGGAGCAAAGCGAAACGGGCATCAGCTGCAGCGAGGCGGACGAATGCGAGGCCGAAACGGGCAGCACGTGCGGGAGGATCTCTGCCGTTGTTGGTCTAGCAAATCTTCGAGAAAACAGTCGGATCATCGAAAGAAACCAGATCAGTCCAGTTATCAGGGCTATCTCGGATGCAGATTGCCGACAGTTTTAATTTTGTTTCTCTCCAGCGCCACGTGCAAAGTCTCGGCCCGCGAGGGAGCTTGCCTGTGCACCGTTCCTAAATATCATCAGCGACCAGCCACCATCGCCCTATACACAATTCACATAAATAATTTACAAGCAGAATATAAATTAACGGTGCAATTGAGTCTGGGAAAACGACGGTAAGTACATTACAAAAGGCAAAAGCGCAAAGTGGCTTAGTTCAAAGCTGTTGGGTTGCAAGAAAGGAAACAACTGTCAAGGCTTTCTGTCATATACACGAAATGAACCTCCTGGTACAGATGCATAGACAGTTCGGTGACGTCATCTCGCGTGGCTGTACAGAGTACATCCACTGCTTCACTCCTCCAACCAAGAACACGGGCCAGAAGTGCAGGAGAATAGGAACTTACCCCATCAAGGACGAGTGCCTGGTAATAACTCCCAATCTCCTTGAGCTTTGGATCTTTAGGTCATGGGCCAATTGGGATCTAAATAGCAGTTGGATATCAGCAGCGATAAAAAAAAATCTAGGCTGTAGCTGAACAAACCTTGATAATTTTATTTTACAACAGAAAACCTGCATTGATCATCTCATTATTCCAGTTCCCTATAGTGACTATACTTTGACCAAACTGCTTACTGGCTTGGAGTATATAACTCAACCAGAATTTGCGATTCTTTGCTTTCTATCAGCTCCACTATCAGAGCAAATTTGAGTGCCTGTAGCCGTCATTTCAAAAATAACTCCCTTGCTTTAGGGGATTAAATGCCTGGTTAAACAGGCGGCCATAATCTGCTACGAGCGCCATGCGCTTGCGTCTGTGAATAAAGTCGAAGGGTTGAGTATAGATACATGCGTTCTCATAGTCGTCGATTTCGAATGAACAGTTAGGAGGGACCCTGCGATTGATCAGCGAGTTTCTAGATGACAAATTAAAATCTTTTAGCTTAGGAGGTGAAATCGATTGAGGAAATCTTGTTGGACTGTGTGGAAGAAGGTAAGAAAGATGAGAAAGTGAGTGAGAGGGATCTCTTGACTGAAGTAAGACGTCCTGCTCTGCCTACGCCAGGTCTTACCACTGCGGTATATTTCCAAACTAGGAAGGCATCACGTGGGTCGACCTCGACGTCGACGCGTCTGATCCCTGGAGGGAGATTTCCCTGTAGTCCCGGATTGTTCCTGCAACATGTTCGGTTATGTTGATGGCAGTGCAGTATCCGTCTATCGGAGCTGACAGGGCCGTCAGCATTGGGTCGCTGGCCAATGATGTCGCGTTTCTGTACTCTTACTTGTGTCAAACAGATTCCCGCGTTCACACGCTTTCCAGACACTTCATCTCTGTTGATATAATATCTGCAGCGATTCTTGCAGGTATGCTTAAAGAATCATACCCTACACTATCTAAAATAGAAACAATAGCTCACAGACCACATGTTATTTTAGTCAACTTCCCCCTCGCCGCCAGTTTACGAACTCTACGGTCATGCCGAAAGATGACTGCCCCATTGGCACGCTCGTGTCTGGCTTGCTGTCGCCGAAAAGTAAAGTGCGATAAAAAGGTCCCCTGCTCCACATGTGTCAATTCCGGGCAGGTATGCGAATATCCCCAGGGCCCGATTCGTCGCCATCGAGCCCGTCGGCAGGATCGATTTGACGGAAGCTCCAAGAGAAATCACAAGGCCGGGGAACGGTCGCGCTCCACTAGCACTGATTCTGGGGGCCGGCTGATAGTCGATGGGGATGGTAAGAGTAGGTTCTTATCAAGCCTTTTCTGGGCAAATGTCGAAGATGAGGTCAGCTTTAGCCTTCGCCAATCTCGTAATTGTGTGTCTTTGCTTTTTTAGACCCGCCAAAGTTAACAGCTGAAACAGGACAATTTGCAACGGTCTATCTTAGATGAGTCTGGCCATCGACCGAACTTTTACCCGGGCTCCCCGTTTAGCTTGAGCTTCTTCTTTTGCCGCCGTTTTCAAGAACAGCCCGATCGCCCCGAGCCCCTGTATGATCCATTGGGTTGGCCGCCTGATCATATCGACACCTGCTGGAACCCGTATAAGAATAATGTCGACCCTGTAGTGAGGATTCTGCACAAACCAAACATCGAAAAGCTCATCCGAGCTGTCACGCCTTCCGGATTGGCAGCTCTTGACGAAGCATCGGCCGCTTTGGTCGTGGCGATCTGCTATGCGTCTGTGGTCACATTGGATTCCCGGCTCGCAGTTCAGCACTTTGGTGAAGAACACAGCACGTTGATTCGGCAACATGAATATGCCGTGGAACTCTCTATGGCTCGCGCAGGTTGGATCTGTAGCGACCATATTCAGGTGCTTCAAGCATTTGTCCTTGTGCTGGTGAGTTGTGTAATCGTCTGTGCGTTCTTCTATCATATACTGATCGTCCGACGTTTAAGAGCTGCATGCCCCGGGAGGATAACCGGCTAGTGTGGACATTGACCGGCATAGCACTACGAATTGCAACATCTTTGGCTCTTCATCATGATAGCGTCGACTTTGGTCTCTCTCCCTTCGAGGTTGACATGCGTGCACGTCTTTGGCGGCATCTATGTCTCATAGACATACGTGTGTCTGAGGATTATGGCACAGATCCCAGCTTCTTGAGTAGAAACGGCAACTATCGTTTGCCTCTCAACGTCAATGATAGCGATTGGGATGTTGGGGCAAAGGCACCCCCGCGAGAGCACCAAGGACCCACAGAAATGACATGGAGCCTTATCCGATTTGAAGCATGCCATGCCTTGTTACGTATCTGGGCTGCATCGCGGCCTCGCAGTCGCTCCTGCTTTGATATGCAATCTTCCACCGGCAGAAGTCATGGAACCGCCTTTGAAATCAGAGAGGGATTCGTTAAGAGGTTCTCTGCTTTCATGGAAACCAAATATCTTCGATTTTTGGGCACAGAACCCACGGATCCCTTGCATCGAATGTTGGCAGAAACTGTTCGCGCATTTCTTATCAAGCTGCGTCTAATAGTCCACTATTCTGCATTACAAAATGCGGCGGCAGGCGCCCAGGAATCGGGCATTGAGCCTACTGTCCGTAATGAGCTCTTTCTATCCGCTCTCGAGCTGCTTGAATGCCACTACAGACTGTGTTCCGCAGAATATATGGCTAATTTCAAATGGATCGCCACCCAATACTCGCAATGGCACGCAACAGCTTTCGTGCTCTCGCACGTGTATAGCCTTCTCAAGACATCGGAGCCTGGGGAAAGCCCACTGCCACCTGAAGTCCTCGGGCGAGTGTTGCAGGTCATCCCTTTCGCCTTCGATGAGACCGACAGATTTGACAAAATGACCGGGCTCATTCATCGCTGGCGCCCCTTGGAACGTTTGTACCAAAGGGTCATGAAAGAGCTCGTGCGGATTCAGCCTAAAGACGTTGACATCTTGCTCTATAAATCCTTTGGAACCTTTTGACAACGTGATTCATGACACAGAACTCCAAGGCCCGTTATTTGACAATTTTTTCTTTCCCGACGTCCAGGAATACGACTGGCAAACCATTTTGAACAGCCAGTGGTAAAAAGCACGTCCTATTCAACTTTACGTTTCAACGTGCTAAGATTGTCCTCAGATAGTAATATGCTATCTATTCACCGTCGTACAGAGTTTCATTTACTAGGCTCGGCAGCAGTGTTTTATTGTTGAGACGAGTTGTATTTCCGCTCTCTCTAACCTGAGTTCCAGTTATATGTTACAGTTTTTGTCTGTGATGGACGACAAAACGGATCTGACGTTTTGTTTCTGAAGTCTTTACCCAAACCACCACTTCAAGACAGCTGCGAGCGCATTTTCAGCGTCAGAGACAGCCGTTGTCTTGCGACCAACCCACGCGACGCGCATATCTGGTCGGACGAGGATTGCCTCTACGTTGTTCCATTTCTCATCGCTTGGAGTCGCTACCACAGACAATACAGTGACACGATCCTTCCACGGTTTTGAGATCTCACGCAGGGCCTCTTCAGTAAACATCCTTTCCTGTGTCTTCAATAACACGACGGCGAAGCGATATGTTGCAGTTGCTGCATGCAAGGCGTTCTCTTCCTCGTCAAATCGGAGGTGTGTGACTCTTGCGCCTAAGAGTAGTTCCTCACTTTCATTAATTGTTTCCGGCTGTCCTTCGCGGTTGACCTGGCTTGCCATGTAGCTTTTTATATATGGCGCCACTGGATCGGCGAACCCAGAGAGACGGCGGGCCCAGAGTCTATTCAATTCCGGATTTCTCAAGGCTTCGGCAAACACGTCCCGGATGGCAGTCTCATGCGGATGACGAGCCATCAGCATTGCAATCTGCGCTTGGACATTTGCTATGACGGCTTGTGCGGCTGAACGACGCTCTTCTGTGTAAGTGTTGAGGAGACGCTCCGCAACGGTGCCGGAACGCACCCAATGGCGCTGCGCAGCAGCAAGCTTCCAGGCCAGATTGTTTGCGTCTTGAATGCCGAGGTTCATGCCTTGGCCTCCGGCAGGGAAAAATTGGTGGGCTGCGTCTCCTGCGAGAAAGACACGCCCGGCGCGAAAACTGGCGGCGACACGGCAGGCATTGCCAAAGCGGGAAAGCCAGACAGGATTGTGCATGCCGAAGTCCGAACCCAAACTCTGGCGAACATATTCTCTGACTTCTTCGAATGTCGGTGCTTGCGAGGCTGGGTAGTGCATGGTGGTGGTGGATAGGCCCACAGCTCTGTAAAAGGTCGTTCCTGGAACAGGAATCAATATACAGATACAGCCTCCATCAGGCCCCCTACCAATTCGTGGCAGTGGATGTGGATTTTCCATGTGAACATCGGCTAACCAGGCTGTCATACTGGAGGGGGTCCCCTCAAATGCAATCCCGGCTGCAGCCCGTACAGAACTGTGTGTGCCATCACAACCCACAAGCCATGCTGCCTCTAAGTGCTGCACATCGCTATCAACTGGTGAGATTTTGCCATCATCTTGCACCCGCTGTGCGGTAACCAGAACGCGGTCATCTTTCTGCTCAAGACCGGAAAACTTCAACCCCCATTGGAATCTCACACCGGCAGCATCGCATTCGTCGAGGAGTTTTGTTTCCGTGTCTGCTTGAGTGAGGAGCAGTGCGTGAGGATAGCGCGTCCCGAGCACCTCTGGTCCAAGCAGGATCGGTGTGTCACAGGCCCCGAAGTGAGTTCGGGGTACTGGCGAACCTGCATCCACGAATTTCTGGCCAATACCTCGGGCTGCGAAAATTTCGAGGCTGCTGGCAGACATGCCGAGGGCCTTTGAACGGCGGTCACGGGCATCCCGCGCGGGGATAGAATCGATGGCCAGCACGTCGAGGCCGGCCTTTTTGAGCTCAAAGGCAGTCCACAGGCCGACAGGGCCTGTTCCGACGACAATCACTTCGGCAGAGAGCATAGTGACTTGTTTTTATAAGAAGTATTAGATATGCAGTGTAGAACCAGTACATATCAGCGACAATCACTCATAAGATGGAATTCGAATGGAATTGCAGGAAAACTTGTTTAGCAGAACAGAATTATTGTCATCTAAGAGTCCCGGGATAATCCACTCTTTCATTGAGTTGGCCTCGAGGTTCTTGTTTCCTGTCCGTCCTCTCCCCCCCCCCCTTTTATAACTTCGTGTGGGGGTTGTCTGGCCAGGTAAGCGAGGCCCTAGTCTAGCTAGGTATGCGAGGCCCTAGTCTAGCTATCCAACGTTGCTGCCTAATTACATGTGATCCGCGCATGTGAACAATGCCCAAAAACCCTCATCGTCTCGATATATACATATAATGTTTCTAAATGTGTGGCAAAGCAGACATCCATGCTGCCAGTGCCCCGAGAGGCCCGATGCTGATAGGGCCGACAAGCCCGAGACAAAAGGTCCGAGAGGACCGAAAAGACCGAGCGAGAACAACGTACGGTACAACACATATAATACTATAGGTAGATCCACGTTAGACGTGGTTCAATTTTAATGGAGTAATAAAATAGTACCAAATGAGAAAAAAAAGGAAAGAAAGACGTTGGTGACTCATAGAAGTAAGCAAAGCATTGGTGGCCTGGCTGCCTAAAATCAGCCGACAGACGCTCAAGTACTGAATATCAGACTTGCCACAAGTGGAATCTTTAGCTTATTTTTTAGTGACTGACGTAGCAAATTGTATATAGTATGTACAGTACGTCCATCATCTTATCTGCATTATATTAGGTCATAGTTGACTGCTGACTCGTCTCATGCTGGCATTAATGTGTCATTCGTTGCGAAAATTGCTAGACTTCTACATTGGAATGGGGAATGAGGATGGAGTTCATTATATATTTCTCTGCTTTTACTGTCTGCCTTAGATAAAGCATTACCATTACTTTTAGGAAGCTGTAGCTGACCCCTAGTATTATCATCTTGCAGGGATAGTAATATTCCCTATCCATCTGACCTGCTTTTTTTTCTTATTAATAAATTCTGTCAATGCCTGATGCAGACCCTGATGTAAGAAACAACAAAGAGAGACCGCTTAGTACTCGGACGTCACTCATGAGGTGAAGCCAGTGACGTCGGGGTACCGACTCGTCTAAACCTACAACCTGATCCACCGTCCATCCGCAACAATGCTAGATGAACGAGACGAACTATCGGCCAGCCTCGTGTCACTCTTCCAATCATGGGCGGAGCGCTGCAAGGCCGTCCATGCCTCCCACTTGGACCCCTCCCAAATGCATTACCGAATGGCTTGCGTATGGACGCAACAAGAAATGCCCGTCGTCGCTACTCTACATGCTCGACCACCAGTACACTGCTGCGGAGCTCAGCTTCGCCCGGCTAAAAGGTGTCGACCAAGCACGTGTAGCAGAACTCCGGAAAGCAAGTGAACAGTGTGGCGTTCGCCTCTACCTAGCAAGCATTGAAAAAACTAAAATTTGTTGTGTCGACGATTGCTATGATGGTTATTATGGCAGGAAATTTAGCCGACATCGGCATGTGTGTGACGAGGTTAATACTACCTTCTGTCTGCAGAAGGTTGTCGGATACAACGATCAAGTCGTTGCGGAAGATGTGGACCTTGGAGACCTTGATGACACCATGTTGGTGCCGGGAGATGCCTTTGACCGCGACCCGGATGAAGATGAGTTTCAAGGCTATACAGGAAATGAGGGGGCCAGTGTCACACATATTTATCGCCAAACGGTACCTATGTTTACATCCGCTGGATGCCATTTAACTGACGTTGATTCAGGGGTATACTAATCATCCCGGCTATTTTTCATTTTGCCTTTGTACTTCATCTTCTGAAACGTGGGAAGACGGATGTCGGTCACTATCTGAAGGCACATTATCAAAGACTGTTAGACCACCCTGACGACAGAATCTCTCGCGAGAAATTGTGCACCTTTCCAGAGTAATCGCTTTGAATGAGCTGAACTGGCGAAACAGAGGAGACAAAGCTCAAGAGTTGCAGAATACCGTCGCGAGGATGGCACTTGAAATCGGCGAGCTGGAACTTTTCAAGCAGTGCGTCGAAACTCTCAGTGGGATGCTGTCTCCCACCGTCGGCTCTAGCATCGGAAAGGCAATCTTGGATCATGGACTGCCAGCTCTCCGTCCGATGTAAGTCACGTGGACCCACGAGTTGAGATGAAACTGAACGTATTTCGCAGACTTGATCGCATCTTTTCTCCGATGACAGGAGCTGTCAGGCAGCTAGAACTGCTCTTCAACATCATACGAGCGTATCGCTCAGAAGGTAAGCGATCGAGTGCAGATACGCCTGACGAGATGGTAGAATGGCAGATCCGCGCATTTCGACGGTTCAACATAAATACCCAAACTGGCTGTTATTGTTATCTTCTCCGGACGTATTTACAATTTTTGGTTGGTTATGGATGATATTTGGGGAACTTTAACTCTTATTTCATTTTGACACGATGCGTGGATAGGTCCGTGGGGGATGTCCCTTCAACTGCCCGCGCAAGCCACCCGCGGATCCCGCGACCTGGACCTTGCATACAGGACTGTATATTTATGTATTACTCTTTAGATATGAACTTTAAACACTGTCTACTGTATATTATTGGTTTAATAATACAATATAGAGTTGCCTACCAGGTAAGTACGATCCACGTTGTATCGCTAGAGAATTGAGTTATCGATCGTTATCAGTTAGCATATCTGAACATGACAAACAGCATACATACATGCACCCCACCAAGTACCTTAGGCAGCTCATGTATGTATGTACATACATACAGAAAGACAGACATATTGTACACACACGTGATGTTCAAATGCTCTTCTTATCGCCCCCATCGATTGTGAAGTTGAATTGGACAGTCTCATTCTGCTTGTACCCTAAGGCCTTACATCACCACACCGGGTTTTATACAATAGTCTAATAGTCTACAAGTCAGTCGATCACCATGTCCGGCGTAAAAAACTACCCCAACGCCTCCGTCGCCGACCTCCGCACGCAGTACCAAGGCCGCCTGCTGGGCGAGATTGAGCTCGAGGGCAGCCCCCTCGCCGTCATCGACGTGGCGATCGCGCGACGGAATTGCCAGCTGATGTTCGACACGGCCGATGCGCTAGGGGTGCGGTTCCGGTCCCATGTTAAGAGTCATAAGGTGTGCTTGCTGTCTTTATTAGAGGGGAAAAAAATTACTTCAATCTAGTTGTATACTGATGAGTGAGTGATAACAATGGCCAGACGACGGAGCTCACCCGGCTGCAGGTGGGCGAGAAAGCGGACACGGTGCGTCTGGTTGTTTCGACCCTGGCTGAGGCTGAGCAGTTGCGGCCGTATCTGGAGGAGTGTATGAGTCGGGGACGATCTGTTGATGTAGGTCTGCTTTAGTAATGTTTGACTGCTTGATGTTGTTACTGATGGTTGCAGCTGGTTTATGGCCTCCCCGTCCAACCGTCCTGCTTCAAGCGCCTGGCTGCCCTGGGACAGGTTTTCGGCAACGAGAGCGTCTCTGTTCTGGTCGACAGTCTCGAGATTCTTCCGTACCTGGATCAGTACTATGATCTTACGTCTGGATACTGCCTGCGCGTCTACGTCAAGCTCGATACGGGCAACTACCGCGCTGGTCTGTCACCCGACTCGGACGAGCTGAAGCGTCTGCTGGAGGCCATCCACCGCAAGGAGCGCGAGCAACCATCACGCATCCGCCTACAGGGCTTCTACAGCCATATGGGCGTCAGCTACGGGTCTGAGAGCACTACCGAAGCCCTCGACTATCTGGCACAGGAGATTGAGCGATGCGCCACGGCCGCCGAGCACGCAGCCAGACTGTACGACGACGGCAGACGCTTCACCATCTCCGTCGGGGCGACCCCGACCGCAACTGCGGCGCAGAATCTTCTCTCCCCGAATACTGCAGATCCTGCAGTCGTCCGGGTCAAAGAGCTGATTGCGCGCGTGCAGCAGTCGCACGACATCGAGCTGCATGCCGGCGCCTACGTCACGCTGGACATGCAGCAGATGGCGGCGCACGCGCGACCGGCGGAGCATCACCGCTCTTACGGCGATATTGCCGTCATGGTCCTGGCCGAGGTCGCCAGTCTGTATCCGCACCGCAGTCCCCCGGAAGTCCTGGTGGCCTGTGGCATGCTCAGTCTGGGCCGGGAGCCCTGCCGGAACTACCCCGGCTGGGGGGTTGTCACGCCCTGGGATGCAGCCGAGTCTGAAAGACGATGGTCATGGTACGACCCGGAAAAAGACCGCAGTGGATGGATCGTCAGTCGCGTGAGCCAGGAGCACGGCATCTTGACCTGGCAAGGCCCCGTGGAGCAGAAACGGCCGCTGCAAGTCGGGCAGAAGGTGCTCATCTGGCCAAACCATTGCTGTATCTGTCTGGCGGGGTATAGTTTCGTGCTTGTAATCGATTCAGATCGCGAGGGGATCGAAAAGGACCGGGTGGTGGATGTGTGGTTGAGCTGGAGGGGGTGGTGATCTAATCAGAACAGATAGATTAGAAATAGACAACATGATTCGTTAAGGCTTGTTAGACAACATTCAGACATGCCTATGTGCTGTCATGTAACTAGCTAGACGTTGGCGTATCCTTCAACTGTGCACAGTTGACCTCAGGCGGCAGACCAGTCGGAGCAATTACTTCACTCTAATGACGACCTTACCAAAGTGCGAGCCGCTGAAGAGATATTTGAACGCCTCCTTGGCCTCCTCAAACGCAAAGACGCGGTGCACCACCGGCCGGATGCGATGCCGCTCGTAGAACGCGATCATCTCCTCGAACCGGTCGCGGGGTCCATTCAGTATGCCCTTCAAGGTGACGTTTCGTCGCAAGGCGAGGACATTGACGTTCGTCCGGTCGTCCGGCTCGTCCACTTTGCCGGACAGATACCCGATGCAGTTGATCAGGCCGCCCCAGGCGACGCAGTCGAAGCTCTTCCGCAGCGTCTGCGCGCCGCCGGTTTCAAGGATGATGTCTGCGCCGTGCTGGTCCGTGAGCTTCAGCACTTCCTCCTGCCAGTTGGGCTGGTTGCGGTAGTTGATGACGAAGTCGGCGCCTAGCCGTTTGGCATGTGCGAGTTTCTCGTCGGAGGACGAGGTGATGATCACTGTCGATGTAAGCCCGTCGAAATTGTAAGTGGCATCGCGTGCATGGTCCTAGTCCTACCTTTTGCACCGCTAGCCTTTGCAATCTGCAGTCCAGCAATAGAAACACCTCCCGTCCCCTGCAGGAGGACATATTCTCCCGCGCCTCCGCTCTGTCCGATCGGCCTCATCCAGTTGAGCGACATCCACGCCGTCACGCTGGCAATCGGAAGCGTGCAGGCCTCTTCGTCGGTCAAGTAATCCGGGGCCCGGACGAGTCCGTACTCAGGGAAGACACGGTGTGTCGTGAGGACGCCTGGCAGGGGCAGACCCAGACCGGAGGTCATCTCCTTTGATGTTATCTGTCCGGACAGATGGGCCTGGTTGAAGGTGGAGAGCACGCGGTCGCCGACTTTCCACGACGTCACACCTTTGCCAACCTGTGTGACGACACCGCACATGTCGGAGCAGGGCACGAGGAGGCTCTGCTGGCCGTACATCGATTTGTGGTGCGTGTACTCGCCCATGGCAACTGGAGAGACGAAGTCAACCATCAGCATCACATCTCACCATCACTTTAATCAGATGAGCTAGCAAGTACCTTCCGTGTCGCGATAGTTCAGCGAAACCGTATGAATCTCCACCAGGACTTCATTCTCCCTCGGGACGGGCATCGCGCCCTCGGTCATCTTGAGGTTGTCCAGCCCATCCTGGGCCGTCACCCACTGCTTGATTTGGCCAGACATGCTGAGTCTACTCCGAGTATTGATTATATCGACAGGAAATCAAGGAGAGGAGTTGAGTGCCAAACACGGGAATTGGAATTGGAATTGGAATTGGATTGGAGATGGGGAACTGCCATCGGAGATTTCTTTGCAGGCCCCACCCACATTGCTGATTACCAATCTGCCGGGCAAAAAGGGGATGCAGGAACGGAATTGACAAATATACGGTCGACTCGAAAGAATCATATGCGGTAATTGGCAAGAGAAGATCCTCCAGTGTAATTTTAGAGCACGACTAACGGCATGTCAATTGCACTCGGAGCAGTTGTCCAGGATGGCGGGGTAACGGATCGATGACGTCGATCCGTCAACAATTATTAATTACTCCGCACATCTACTCTTGCCGTAGTCATTTTTTGTTTCTGCAGGCCTGGTTTTATCACATCTTGCTACAATTCTATCGATATATTTTTTCTATATATTTAGTAAGCCTATCCTTATAGACTTTCACTTTCTTTTTAGTATAAATCAGTACAGAAATCTTCCAAAACAAATAAATAAATAAAGTTCGATAACTAAGGAAGTAGGTATAAAAAGGGGTCATATTGAGCGTAAGAATTCTTCAACAAGAAATTGTTTACAGGACATGATCCAATTCCAAAATTGAGTCTTGGTAGAACTAGTTGTTATACGTTTTGATCTGCTTTTTGTTACTTTAACTACGAATTACATGAAGCCTGCGAACTTAGGAATAGCAATATGATTAAGGACTATTTATTAGAGGAGATGTTCCTTTTGAAAAGAAAAGAGTGTTTTTAAAAAAGAATTGATTACATTTGTAAAGATTCAAAGGGCAGTTTTCTCATAACCTTGCTGGTATCAAGATGTGCTATTATATCTTCTCTGCTTATTTATCCACCTCTAAACTAACTACTACAAAGAAACAACAAGTTTCTTAGCAGACACGCCATTCCTCAGAATCTCAAAAGCAGGCTGGATATTTTCCAGGCCCTTCCCGACAACCTCCGGGTCCGGAGCACAAATATAGGTGCCAGCCGCAAGGGCTTTGGGCAAGAAGTCCCCATAGATCGCGTGGCTGACCTCGTTGTCCTTGATGTCGCTGGCAAAGAAGAACTTGGTGCCAATTCCGTCTGGCACAACGTGGCCCTCCGGCAGAGGATTCGCCAGGGCGACGAACTTGGTGCCTTCTGTCCGCGCCACGACCTCCACGCAGGATACAGATGCTGTTTGTCCGATGGCAAAGGCACCGGCGCAGGTCTTGCCCTTGAATGCCTCGACCAGCTCGTCGACGATCGTCTCGCTGTGGTAGTCGAACACCTGGCTCGCACCGAGTTTCTTGACGTAGTCAAAATTCCTTGGCGAGGCAGTGGTGATGACCTCATACCCGGCAGCAACAGCAAGCTGGATCGCGTTGCTGCCCACGCTGGTCGAGCCTCCCCAGATCAGGAGCGTCTTGCCGGTGGGCTTTGGTGGCACAGTCGGAAGCTGCAAACCAAGACAATCCTTCTGGAAGAGACCGCATGCTGCAGTTGACACACCCAAGGGCAGAACCGCAGCACTCTCGTAGGATACACGGTCTGGAATGGGCGAGGCCATGTGCTCCAGGACAACGACGTACTCCTGGAAAGCGCCTTCAGCCGGGTTGTTTGTTACCCTGCCGATGCCAGTCCCGACAACGCGATCGCCGACTTTGAACCGCGTGACGCCGCTGCCGACCTCCGCGACCTCGCCGGCGACATCGCTCCCGAGGATGAACGGGTATTGGAGCCACGAGAACAGCGCATTGCCCATGATCTGGATGAAGCAGTCGACCGGGTTGATAGCGACGGCACGGGCTCTGATGACGATCTCATTCTCGCGAGGGGGAGTGTATGGCGCGGATTTCACCTCGAGGGGAGTAGCTTTTTCAGCAGCCAGCCAGGCTGCGGTGTTGGAAGGCATTTTGGACAGAATCTGGAGAGAGATAAGTAAGACTATAGAGATCAAGATAACTACTCACGAATGATGGGAATGATACTGGAATTCACACAGCGTGAGAAGGGAGGTCATTTAATAGTGACAACATTTGAGATATCAGAGAAGGAGGGTTAGGGTTTCTCGTGAATTCCCCGTCCCGGCATATTCCCCTAAAGTCCGTAAAATCCGGACAATACAGTACATCCATCCATGCGAGGAAACTGCTATATTCCTTGTAAATTGGATTGGAATTTAGTAATTTCAATTGTTAAGCCAAGCGTTTTTCAATTTCACTTTTTCTTTCCCCCTTTTGAATAAACTGGTCCATTGTGACGGGGTTCGGCAGAAACCTGGGAGTTTGCGCTAGGGCTGTAACATTCATGAAATTCCCTAAATGGAGTTAAATACATACAATTTAAAATCATACTTACCGTACATAATACGAGCAGGATGTAGAGCTAGCATGCCCAATCCACTGGCCCAGATCTGGCCGGAGATAACGGGGAATTCTGCACATTTCCCGGTGCAGGAGCAACCAGTTCATTACCAACATCGCCACTGCTGTTGCAAATACGTCTGATTAATAATAATAGTATCGAGCATGTTGGGTTGGAGGCCCTCGTTACATGTATGAACTACACGGCATATGCTACTTGGGTATGTCTCGAGACAACCCTGGCCATGGGCCAGAGGATCCTGGAATAGGCATTAGTAAGCCCAAGGATTTTCTTTCCCCTTCAAGCCTAGACAAACGGAGCGAGTCGTTTTAAGGCTTGTCTACAAATATAGACGCTTCACCTCTTTAATTCGCTACTTAAAATAAACACTATCCTCAGCGAGAAATCAAGCAGGTTCTGCAAGAAGAAATAGGCGGTGAAGAGACGAGGTCCCGTGACAGGCCACCTAGTCCGGATTCGACTTAGTGCCGTGCAAGCTGCATGTCCCTGGAGCGGCATCATCCGCCCCAGGAGAGGACTCTGCTGAGTCTGTTCTGGCCAGTTCGCTGTCTGATTGGAGTCGCTTCCATCGGCGGTTGCCGACATGCGATTGAGACATGTGTATTCGGAGGAATCCGTACGAGACAAGAGTCATCTAGAAAATCGCTCTGTGGAGATTGCTCGGATGTCGGCAGAGCTTGGTCAAGGCGGTGAGGAATTCTCCTCACGAGGCAGCCAACCGGAACGCGATTCGGCGCCCCCGCACGATCGGCCGCAACGCTCTCTCCACTCGCCTGGATCAGCCTGCGTCAGCACGGTATCAGTGTATCTATTTATAACGCTGTCAGTCGATCATTTAACGGCTGCTGCTGCTGCAATTGCCTCTCTTTCGTTTTCTATCAGAGCAATTGGATTGGCATCTCTGCGTTGGGCCACTACCAGTCAGTCAGCCAGTCGGCAAGACACATAGACGGCACGATGGACGAAAAGGCTTCTTTGGAGACTGCTCCGCTTCTCTCGTGCAAAGGTAAGGAGCTACCTCACCAGCTCAATTCCTGCCTGCGTGTCATCTAGCAAGGGCTGATGGCAATGGACACCACAGAAGGCCCCCTACGACAGCACTACCGCCCAGATGGCACCATCGGCTTGCCCCAGACCATCGCCCACCGCGGCTGCAAGAAACACTTCCCGGAGAACACCATGGAGGCATTCAAGGGCGCCATTGAGGCCGGCAGCCATGCCATCGAGACGGATCTGCACCTGTCCCGGGACGGGGTCGTGGTCATATCACATGTATGACAATGGGCATGGACTACGGATACATATTCCTTATTGGCTCTGACGCACCTGGCTAGGACGCTACTTTGAAACGCTGCTACGGCGTGGACGAGTACATCAGCAATTGCGACTGGGAGTACCTCAGCACCCTGCGGACGCTTCGCGCACCCCATGCCCGCATGCCCCGTCTGATCGATCTGCTCGAGTACATCGCCTCTCCCGGGCTGGAGGACGTGTGGATCTTGCTCGACATCAAGGCAGGCAGGACCAAGGCATACAGCTAGTGTCATAGAGCTGACCAATGTACCTCTATAGCTGGACAACGACGCCAATGCTATCATGAAGGGTATTGCAGAAACAATCAAGATGGTGCCTCCTGGGCGACGGCCCTGGCACGAACGGATAGTACTCGGATGCTGGGCGGTGAGTTAAAACTACATACGCATACCGACGTTCTGATGCAACCTGAGACGGGTACCTGCAGATTGTGAATATTTGCACGGTGCCTGGGCCAGGGGTATCTCTGACACGTTGCGATGTCTTTTCTAGTCCCACTACTTCCCGCTGTGCGCGGAGCTGCTCCCGGACTTCCAGACGGCGCTGATCTGCTTCAACGTGTACTCGGCGCGCCGCATCCTCAAGACCGTGCCGGGCGTCTCGTTCAACATCTTCCAGAAGGTGCTGATGGGCCCGCTGGGCTACCGCTTCCTGGAAGACGCGCACGCCGCCAACCGGCTCGTCTTCGTCTGGACCGTCAACCGGCCGCGGCTGATGCGGTGGTGCATCCGCAAGGGTGTCGATGGCGTCATCACCGACGACCCGGAGTCGTTCCGCCGGATCTGCGACAACTGGGACGAGGAGGACGCCAAGCACCGCGACGAGGACCGCCTCACGTTCGCGCAGCAGCTGGAGCTGCTCTTCATCGCGCTGTTCGTCCTCCTGCTCGGCTGGACCTTCAAGTATCGCCATCTGCGGCTGCAGCGGTTCATCGTTGAGGATTCTACCAAGCAGGGCTATCCCAAGACGGAGTAACTAGCTACCATATGATGATTGATGAATCATGATGTATCATGAAATCACGACGACTTGCTGCTAACCTGCTAACTACTTGCTTCTTCTTGCTTTCGATATATCCATGATCTAGATCATCACTACTCATAGAAATAGAAATAGAAAGCTTGCTGTTTGCTTCGAACAATAAATCAATCAATTATCAATGAAGTAACGACGTACGTACAGTCAATATCTAACTACACCCACTGACGAACGAACGAAATAACCATAATTTCTATCCAGATCTTTGTTTTATTTTATTTATTTTTTTTCCCGGACATTCATCATATTTAAATTCTTACTTACAAAACTAGTTAACCAACTAACTAGGTAGGTAGGTAACAACACACATTACACAGTAATGGCGACGAATATAATGTGTCCAAGTAAGGTAAGATAATGTATGTGAAGTATAGGTAATATGCGTAGTGCTTTTGAACCAACCAAGCAATGGGCCCCCGCGAAAAGCGTAGCCCTTCCTTCCGGAGGTGAGACAAAAGGAAACAAACCAAAAAAAAAATGCAAATGCAAATGTAGATGTAGATGCAAAAGCGAATGCGAATGTGAATGCGAATGCAAATATATGAAAAAGAGAGGGGGGAGGGGGAGGAGGAGGAGGAAAGAGTAAATATGAGAAAAATATTAGGAAGGCAAAAAAATGAAAAAAAAAACCCAAAAGAGAAGTTGTAAAGAGATTAGAAGATAAGAGTTTGTGAAAAGCGAGAGAGAGACACACAGAATAACAGAAAAACAACGAGAGTAGAAAGAGCAAGAAAAAAAACGAAGGGTATATAATATAATAAAGAATGCTGATCTACAACAAGGTTAAGAATGAAAATAAAAAAAAAAGGAAAGAAAAGAATAACGAAATTGGTATGCTAAAAGGGGGAATAGAAAAAAAAACGAGAGGTCCTCCTGCTGAATGGGAAAATAAATAAAATAGCAAAACAGGGTATAAAACAAAACAAAAAAGAGAACACGATCAGAACGCGCAGCAAAGGTCCATCGTGTAGCAAAGTGAAGACAAACGAAACTACCACCCATACATCACACATCCGCCATTAACAGAATACCAATCAATTCAATTCATATCATCATCAGCTTGGTGGTTCTCCTCTCCGGGAAGCGACGCGGGCCGGGAGACTGGCCTGGACCTGGATTATTCGGAGGCGGCGGGCCTCCAGGGCCCCTGGGGCCTCCAGGTCCTCCAGGACCGGGTCCGCCACGACCGCCAGGACCCGGAGGACCACGAGGACCATGAGGAGGACCACGAGGACCGGGTGGACCTTGTCGAGGTCCTCCCCGTCCTGGTGGTGGAGGGCCACCCGGAGGGTATCCTGGAGGCCGCGCCAGCGGAGAGGACGGCATCGTCGGTCGTCGGCCGGGAGGAGGAGGAGGAGGCGTCATGGCGGCTGCCCGCCGTGCATCCCGCTCGCAGTAGACCTGTCCGTTCCATTCGAAATAGTCGCCGCGCAGCACGATCTTGCAGGTCCGGCACGTCAAGCAGTCAGGATGGAACTTGGCGCCCCTGCCGCTCTTTTCCACCGTTTCGAGGTATTGGCCTTCGATTCCGCGGTTGCACGTCGCGCACAGCGAGCCGTTTAGTTCGTGGTAATGCTGAGCGCAGTAGGGGTGGTCGTCCAGCACGTAGAAATCGGCTGTCAGGAACGGAGCCCGGCAAGTGTGGCAGACGAAGCAGGCCTTGTGGTACCGCCCCGTTAGACGACCGTCAGCAGACGACACCGATTTCCCCGTGATAGGCTGTCCACAACCGCGACAACGACGCTTTTGGCCTGTGGCAGTGGGCGGGCGCGGAATCGGCTCTGCAGGGGGCGTCTTCGGCCTCAATGGCGACTTGGGAGGCGCGCCCCTCTCCGAAAATAAACCTCGTTCCAGCGCAGGATCGGTGGGTGAATCAGGGCCCCGAAGTGAAGGGTCTGTGAGCCGCGGAGGCTCGAGATCCGACGTTCGAGTGGCGGGGGGCTTCTCATCACCGGGAGACGCGTTCTGGTTCATTTGCAGGTCCTGAAGCATCTCGTCAATCTGGCTCAGCTCCGACGGTTTTCGGTCTGTCTCCGAGGGCGGGCTGGAGAGCGAGCTTCCGCTGCCATTATCTGAGTGAGACGACTCAGTCGACGATGTTGACTCCTCCGTAGCATGATATGGGTTGTCTAAATCCAGTGCTCTGGCGAAATTGGAAACCGTTAAACCTCCCTCGGCATCCTTCTTGCTCTCCGTGTTGGTGATCGTCGACGGCACGTCAAGAAACAATGAATCTCTCATGAGAGAATTGACAGGTTCTGTAGGCCTTCTCGAGAGCGCTTCGGGAGGCTCTTCAAGGTCCTCCGGTGTTTCACTTCTCACAGGCATTGTCTGGGATCGGGGGAAGGGGTTGGGAGTCGGATTAGAATTGCTTGAGCGAACGCTGGCGTCTTCATAGGGTTCAGGGTCCTCCGTCAACTCCAAATCTAATCCACCATAACCTCCTTTCGCCGTTTTTGGAGGACTACCGGCGACAGTCGACTCCGCCGCGCTCATTTGAGAATCCCGTCGGAAGCTCTTCAACGGCCCGGTTGGTATGGGAGGCACTTCGTCCATAACATTTCGAGGACGAGAGCCGCCCACTGACGGTCGTCGCAGGGAATGAGACGTGGATGGACGCGAGATTGGATCGCCGTAACGACTGCTCGCAACCGACGTTCGAAAAGTACCCTTACTATCGGTCGACATACCGCGGCTATGCGTCCCATTCGACCCTTGGGTATTGGACTCCGCTGGTCGCGGTGACCGTGGTGCAGCCGTGGGTGGACGAGGGCTGGTCGGATTCGTCTTCCTGTCCCTTGCTGGGGTCGACGGGAAGGGAGGAAATGCGCAGTCGAGATTGGTGAGTTCGGGAGATGGAGGATCTGGAGGAAGCGGTACGGTGTTGCTCCGCGGTGGCGGACCAGGTCGATGCGGCGATTTTGTCCCCGGAGAAGGGGACACAGAATGAGAACCGGGGGTACTCGACGGGGTCAGGACATCATCAGGTCGCAAGAATGGCCGATCTAGAGAGGAATCGACGGTCAACACAACATCCACAGTCGTAGAGTGACGGGTTGGACTGACTAGCTGCAGAAGGATCGATTCGCGGAGGAGGTCCCTGCCTGCCAGGCTTCGATGATGCTTGCGATTCGGGTTCTGGAGGCGGCGAAGCTGACGAAACGGTGTCAGTCGTGTCCTGCACAGGGCTGCCATGGCAGGCGAAGGGGGGGGGAGGGGGGACACACGCATACGGGGCGTCTGTTTTTGACAGACGTGCTCTCCCATGGCCGAGATCTCAACGTTCATGTTGCAATTCGAGCATTTGATGGTGGGCAACAAGCCCGCCAGATCCGCGTCGTCCGCCATGACAGCACACGCAGCCTCGTCAACACCTCAGAGCCTCGATCGATCGATATCCACACCGCGAACGAACCATGAACCCGTGCACGAGACGCTTTCGGGCCTGCACGTCTCCGAACTAGCACAGAGGCCGATAACGGGTGACGATTGCGAGCCTCGTTTGCATATGCAGAAGCTGAGGGCGTGGTTGGAGAGAGATTCAGCGAGAGCCAAATACTCTCTCCGTCGAACAATGACTCTGCTCCAAGCGTGCGCTTATTTTCCCGCGACGATCAATGCACGGGATCTGTTTGGCCCCGGATCCAGATGGGCACTCGAGATGCCGCACAGGGCGATCAGAGCCAGCCAGCAAGCTTCTCCAATGGCAGAGCTCCGACAATGACGCTCTTTGTGAGAGAGAGAGGCGTGCGACAAGACGCTCTCCAGGCAGTGTTGACACGGCTGGCCCCTGGGAGAGTCACACTGGTGCCACGGGCTGTCACAGAGCCAGCTTCCGCAACCCCGTTCGGAGCCAGACTGACACCGGCAACGACGCGCGATCTTTCTTTCTCTGCCCCTGCTGCAAGTGTTATTTAGTGCCGCGACCCTGACGAGCCGAGCAGCATCTCCAGCGCAACCCCTGAGCCGGCGCGACCTCGACCACGGCCGGCAGCCAACGAGAGGCGCGCGCCGGGCTGGTGGCGGACGGCGCTCGCCCGCACAGGCTGCCACCGCGCCGACGGGCCACGCCGGCGCTCGCTGCTAGCCTCGATTAGCGACATGGCGTCCTCAGTCTCGCTCTCCGGTTGCGCGTCGTGATCGCGAGTCGCCCTGTCGTTCGCAGCTGGCTCGGTGGGCCTCGCTGCTCTCAGACGCTCCGGAACGGCTTAACTGTCTGCCGAGATTGATACGGAGGCCCGGCCATGGCCCATGGGCCGCTGGTGAGGGGAATTTTCTCCATCCGGAGGAGTCCGGAGGAGTCTGTGAGCTTTGGCACCTAGATCGCCCTGACGACCCATGCAATCAATATCGACGATTCGACGATCCCTGCTGGCGATGATCCCAGCCGTACGGAGCACAGATGAAGCAGTGATTGCGATGACCGTGGCATGAGATGATGAGAACGTCTGGTTGATTCCACCTCGACTGGAATGCGGGGATACCCATCATTATTTACATACACTGTCGCACGTTCTCCCGGACGTGCCGGCACTAAAACGTCGACTGAATCTCGTTCGAATCCTCCGTGCTTTTTGCACGGTCAGTGCTCTGTCTGATCTGCAGCAACTTAGGCATGAGCAATGACTGGGCCACAACGGCGTTTGGCCCTAAAGGCCCCCACGGGCAGCAGCGATACCGTTTAAGTAAGTGATTGCCAAAAAAAAAATCTCTATACGGAGTCGTCCACTGTTGACGCACAATGCTGGTATAGAATGAAAGGTAGGAAGCATCCGTAGCGAGGAATTCGATGGCATTCTCCGGACAATGTAACTCTTGTGTGGCAGTCGCAACACGATGAGCGAGATTTCGCGCCAGCCTGAGAAATATGCGTTTCGAGACTCAACTTGTCTCAGGTTTACAAATCCAAGCGTACAAGTAGACGAAATACTCCGTACGAGGTCGTTTCAATTGCCAGTATACACCGTTATACACTGAACAATTGTTGTGGTTTTCCCAACGTGCTGTAGTAACTCGGATAATGCTGCTTGATGATAGTATTATTTTCCACCCCAACGACAACAAAGAAGACTACCTGTTATTTGGTCTATATTTATCGATTGAAGCTGCTGACTGGAGTCATCATGCTTAGTAACCACCATACCCTAGTTACTTTTTACTGCCTAGTTAGGTACAGTAACTTCGTACTCAGTACTTGATCGGGGCCAAAAAAAAAAAGCAAATAGCTAGAAACACATCATTGGCTCCTCGTCTGCTTCTGTCAATAAAATAATATTTTCATATCTAGCTCGAGAGAAATGGCATAAAAATTAGTGTCTGGTAAACTGAATGTAGCCTCGGAATAATCGTTGTCTCGGTACTGGTGATCTTCATGAGGTAGTCGCAATATATATATTTGCATGCAGCACTACTCCGTAGGTCCAAAGTCTCAACCCACTCTCCATTTCCTTTCCAAACTTGGATGTTATTTTCCAACTTGATTTCCCAGCGGAAGGAAACGATGGCAATACACAGAAAAAAAAAAGGAAAATAAAAGGCAAAAAAAAATCAACAAAATCATGCTATAAGAATGTGCTGTACTATAGAAATTCTTAATAGAATTCTTCTCTTTCCTTCCATACCCCATTTTTATTCGACTACGAACAAGAAAATATTTTAATTTCTATTTCTATTTGATTGGATTTGATTTGATTTCATACTCTGATCCGTCAACCCTAGTGGCCGATTGCCGGAAGGTCATTTTAGATAGTGAGCCTACTACCAGTACAGTACATGCAGAGACAATTTTGCTCCAGTATTCTAACTAATGTACAACACCTATCCAAAGAAGGGGAGAAATCTCGGACAGAAGCAGAGGCAGGAAATCAAGAGATAGGAGGTGGATGAGGGTAAAGCCCACTCTCTGGGGCAGTATCCTTAGGTCAGACAGCATTGCTTGCATCCTAGACATGAAAAGAAAGAGAAAGTCTTATAGAGAAGAAAGTGAAGGGAAGAGAAATGAACAAAATGGGATTTGATTCTGATTTGATTTCATACTCGAATCTGTCGGCCCTAGTTAATAATAGCGTATTGCCGGAAGGTCACCTTAGAGCCTTCTGCCTATGTATGAACAGCATACACAGCCAATAAATAAGCAAGTAAACCTAAGTGGAATTCTCCAACGAAAATGTTGCAGGCACTGAGACAAAGAGGGTACAAACAAGGAAAAGAGGGAAAAGAGGGACCTCACCTGAAAGAGGGGCTACTCTCCCGTCAGATGATTGGTCGTAGTAGAGTTCACCGCCCCATGGGCAATCCGGCAATGCATGTGGGTCGACCGTCGGGGAGCACTACTAGGTGTATACACTAATTGCCGGAAGAGAAAGAAAGAAAGGAAATGAACAAAAAAAAAGAAAGAGCGAAGACAAGCTATACTCCGTACTGACTCCATGGTTCCGTGGTTTTTGCGGACAACAATAAAGGATATCTCCTTTTAATTAAGGACGGATTTTATCTAAAAAAAAAATAGAACAACTCTACGTGTAATACCACAGTCAAGAAGAAAAGTAATAGAAATACTCCGTACACCGTAAAAGGTTGCCTAATTACAGGAACCCAAAGTTGAAGGAAATGAAAAGAAGGACAACAAAACAAAACCACCTAATCTGTATGAGGCAGACGATCTACATACATAGAAAGAACCTCTTCCCTGCCACCATTATTCCTCTCTGCTCGAATCCTGCCTGCCTGCCTGCCTGTCTGTGTGTCTATCTTCCAAGGAAATAGCGATGTTATGTTACCTCTGCTACCATTGGCCCATGACGATCTATATCCTTGTATCCACCTGGACGGGATGTCCCCATCGGTGGATTACCGGACTAGTTGGAACTTGTCGTTTGGCGTCGTTGGCGTCGTCGGTGTCGTCGTCGTCGTTGTCGTCGGCGTCGGAAGGATCCGTCAACGATACCAATCCTAACCTAGGCAACAACCCACCCGACCTAGCTGGAGTGGAGGTACCTATCTAGTATCGACCTATCCAACCAATGGCAGGAAAAGACACTATTTAATAAAGTTTAATTAATTTGAGCAGATTTTCCCATATGGGCAAAAACTCGGTTTTTAGAGGCTTAGAGCAATATACTCTGTATCTTTTCTTAAACTCTAGACTATAACGAAACAAAAACAAGAATATTGATTTATTTTTTATTGATACTTCATGTATAGTATTATTCTTTTCTATGAAGGTATAGAATGAAAGATATTGATAGGATATAGATACGGTTCTTGATGAGGGAAATGTGGCATAGTCTGTAGATTTAGGGTTTCTGTAGGGGAAGAGATATATCGCCTATGAACTTCGTGCAAAAGGATGCCAGAGATAAGGGAAGAAAGGTAGAAGCTGATTGATCTGCTGCGTCTTTTTTTTTTTTGGGTCGATAACACTATTCCTTCGTACTCTGATCTGCGTCTGTTCTTGCTCACTCCTAGTCCGTTACGTTATCTGGTGGCTGACTTGTTTCTATGTAGACTGTTTCTGTAGACTGACGCCACCACATTATCACAATCATACGTACGGTTCATTTTCGGTTTCTACGTTGCTGGATAGCTTGGTTTACCGGTCTGGAGTCTTCTACTTGTTTCCTCTATACTATAGATGTTGTCTTGCCACGGATTAGGGCTACTTGGTTCTATCAACCAGGTTGTTCTCACTGTCACTCGCCACTTATATGAGGCAGCTCGCCACCACTCTTGTAGTTCTGGTGCCAGTCGAAATGTATATTCTTCATCGTCTGCGTTGCATAGCTTTGCTGCATATCCCAGGACGGGAGTCCTATTCTTGCGCAGAGCGAGAGGGGAAGAGAAGAATGTCTTACGCAAGACAAGACGATCCCGTGTCCTGAGTCCTGACTAGTCCTGCTTTCCTTCAGTTAGCAAACGATAAGGATGATTAATTTTATTTTGCCTAATATCAGACTTCCTAGATAAGTCTTTAGTCAATGAGAGGATCAAACTCATAAAGATTAGACTCGTCACAAGCTCGAAATCCAAGAGAGTCGATCAGATTCCATCTCCTTCCTCGTCTCGGGTACCCGTTCGCTTCACGGGTGACATCGCTTCCACTGTAGAACGCTTAGGCCTGGCATATCCTGCGGCCCTGCCTATGGCAGGGTGTTGATGCGGCACGCGCAGTGGTACCGAATTGGAGTCCGAGGAAGTGACGCTATCCTCATTCACCGATGTCGGCGTCCGGCGTTGTAATGAGGAAAAGCAGTTCTAGGCTGATCGTCGGCGCCCATGCCGTCGGCTCAGAGGGAGGGGTCGAGGGTCGGGAGGGAGGAGAGGAGGCTGTGAAAGTGAAGCCGAAACCAGGATACGGATAAAGTTCATATGACCTAAGCAAAAACCAGACCGTTGATTGGATCGGAGCGCAGCCCCTGCTTGCCACCCTAACTACCCAGCTAGGAAATTAATTATTATCAAGTTTCCCTTGCCAATGTTGACTCCACTTTCTTGTTGCGTCGCTCTGCTCTTACCGGGCTTTCAATTGGTTTCCTATTGCACCCTAGCCACCTCCCATTTCATTGCGTCTCTCGTTGACTGCGACAGGACTCTTCCACGCGGTGGTGATGATAATGAGCCTCGACTGGGACGAGGAGCACTTCCATTGCGGTGGCTGAGTTATCTGCAAGCCCGTTTTGCATGCATGGATTTCGATTTTAACTCGAAATCCCATTGGTGGAGCCGGTTATAATCGGTACGGAAGCTACTGCAAGAAAGAATTCATAAATCAGTCTCCATAGAGTAAATTCAGACGTCTGTAGAGATGAAGGAAACTAAACAAGTCTCAGCTCCATCCCTCCACCGTACGTGGCAGCGAGTTATTCGAGGAGAGCTTTGGAAGAGCATCGAAAATGTCGAGTTAGTCCCACTCGCAGTCAGGGGCAGGGAGGGTTGCATGAGGGAGGAGTCGGCTGCGAGGGTTCTCAAAGCTCCTCGTTGGCGTGATTGCGACGAGAGTGCCGGGAAATCTAGCCCCTCCATATCGCTGCAGCCTTTGGTTCCGTAAGTAGAAGTTAGAGAGCCATTGTTCGTGGAAGGTGCTAGAACGGGGAGACAGAAAGGCAAGATACTCGGAAGAGACGTCGGAAGCACGCTCACGTGCTGCTGAGACGGGAAGAAGGCAATTGCTAAGGACGCACGCCATCCAGCGGCCCCCTGCCAGACGCAGCTGGCCACGACCACGCCCGCGACTCAAAACAGGGCAAAATAGGCCATATCAGCGCTCTCCGGGGCGCACATACAGGCATACGGCATTCTGGCAGGAAAAGGCACGACGTCGCTTCATGCGGCTGTACGGAGGAATCCTTGCTTCCCGATATGGAGAGTGGGGCCTGCATGCGTGCGGATGATCAAACCGAGCGCGAGGGAGGAGCGTCTTGACGGGCCTTAGTGAGGGGCAGCGCGATAGCAGACGCGCGCGCTGGTTGGCTGGCGTAGTCGACAAGCGCCTGTGGGTCCATCAAGCTCCGAGCTACGCCTGCGCTAGGGCCAGCGTTCCCTGTCTGCGCTACACACCGTGTGCATTTCTGCGCTTGCACGCTGGTAGAAAGCAGGAGAACAACCCAGAAAGGGACACTAGATGGGCTGCTAAGCGAGCATTGCGCCCTTGACAGCCGCTATCTTCCGTGATGACGCACCCTGCGCCTCTGCTCCACTCTGGAGAGCGGGGAAACATGCGGGAGGCGAACGGAAGAAAGCGGAAGAATCCAGTTCTGCGACGGTACTATCCATCTAAGTGCCTGGGAGCTCGATGATCCCAGGTCGTCGCGCAAGCATAAAAGGCGCCTCTTGCCCGTCCTTCCTCCCTTCTGCTTCACTCATCAGACAGCACTTCTTCACTTGCCTGCTTGCTCAAGCGCCCTTTATCGCTTAATTCTCCAATCACCTGCTAACAGAAGATCACTCTTGCACGAGTGGTCACCAACACCGTCACCATTTTCTCCAATCACCTGAACTCGTAAGTGCCCACGTGCGCGCTGTCACTGCGATCTGGGTTCTGCACCAATCATCCTTTGTCCTGGGCCCTTGCCACTCATTTTCAGTCTGTTCTCGTTCATTCACTGACATTCTTCTTCACTGCACCAGGCGCCACCACCCGTTCAACAGCCGACGCTCAGCCGCTCGCGGAGGAGCATCGGAGGCTTCTTTCATCAGATAAAAGCTCGCACTTTTCTTCTGCTGAAACTTCTCAGTCTCCCTGCAACTTCTCAACAGTTCACATCTCACTCCCATCGCGTACTTGCCATACTTGTCCATCATCCACAATGGCTCCTCACGCGACCGAGACTGTTGCTGTCGCCGGCTCTGTGAACGGGGGGTCAACCGGCGGAAATGCTCCTTTGTTCACTGTGGACTCTCCCAACGTCGTCTACACTGACGACGCGATCAAGACCAAGTACTCCTACCACACCACTGAGGTCACCCGCGCCGCTGACGGCAAGTATGTGGCCTCTCCCAAGGTCGAAACCTACCACTTCAAGGTCGACCGCAAGGTCCCCAAGGTTGGTGTCATGCTCGTCGGCTGGGGCGGCAACAACGGTAGCACCGTGACCGCTGGTATCATTGCCAACCGCCGTGGCCTCACCTGGGACTCCCGTGAGGGCAAGAAGTCTGCCAACTACTATGGCTCCGTTATCATGGGCTCCACCGTCAAGCTCGGCACCGACAAGGACGGCAAGGAGATCAACATTCCCTTCCACG